GGTCAGTGATGGGCACTGCGATGGTCAGTAGAATGGTCAGTGATGGTTGGTAATGGTCAGTGATGTGCACTGCGATGGTCTCGCTGGATTTTCTGTATTGGTCTGGGTCATCTAACTTGAATGCTGCATGTCTGGTCTTCAGTAGGCAGTGGATTTCTTGGTTCATCCAAGGTTTACAGTTGGGGAACATTCACATTGACTTCTTAGGTACACAGTCCTCCACACATTTGCTAATGAAGTCCGTGATGGTGGTGGCATACGCATCCAGGTTTTCCACTGAGAGCCTGAACATGGCCCAGTCCACTGTGACCAAGCAGCCCCAGAGACGGCCTTCCATAGCCTTGGACCAACATTGGCAGGGCATAGAGCGGTAGGCTTCTTTGGTGGTTGTGTAGCAGTGGTCCAGGATGTTTGGTGCCCTGGTGGAGCAGGAGATGTGTTGGTGGTACTTTGGCAGCACACTGTTGAGGTGGACTTGGTTGAAGTCGTTGACCACAATGAATAGGGCCTCAGGTAATTTTGTCTCTAGAGCGTTTGTGGCAGTGTAAATCATGTCTGGGGGATTCCTCACATCCGCGTTGGGTGGTATGTAGACTGCTGTCAGGATGACAGTGGTGAACTCTTGTGGTAGGTAGTAGGGACAGCATTTTACTGTAAGGTATCGTAGGTCGGGAGAGCAATGGTTGCTGCCAGGGTCGCTGCTTCTGAGCACCAGGAAGTATTGATCAGGAAGCATACCCCACCGCGGTGATGGTCACTGGTGGTCAGTGATGGTGACTAGTGCTCAGTGATTGGCCAATAATGGGCACCAAATGTTTTGGCCTTTCTGTGGCAGAAAATTCCACAGGCTCACCACTCTCTGGATGAAAAAAATTCTACTCAGTCCTACCCTGTATCCTAAAATTGTGCTCCTGGTTCTGGACTCCCCAAGCATCAGGAACATCCTCCCTGCATTTACCTTGTCTTGTCCTGTAAAAATTCTATAGCCATCTATGAGATCCCCCCTCATTCTTCTAAACTGCAGCGAATACAGTCCTAACTGATCCAACCTCTTTTCATACATCAGTCCAGCCATCCCAGGAATCAGTTT